CCATCACTTACTAGGGAAATGCAAATCAAAACCACAATGAGGTATCATTTCAAAAGTATGAGAATGGCTCATACCAAAATGATTGCTAACAACAAATGTTGCAGAAGATGTGATGGAGAGAGAGGAACTCTTATAGCCTGTTGATGGGAATGAAAATTGGTGCAGCCATTTTGGAAAGTGGTATAAACCTTCTTCAAAAAATTGAAAATAGAACTACTTTATGTTCCAGCAATCCCCTTGCTGGGGGTATTTGTATAAACACACAGATACACAATGGAATGTCATCCAATTATAGGGGAAGGTGACATTTTGCCATTTGCAGCAAAATAGATGGAACTAGGAGGATTATGTAAAGTGAAATAAATCAGGTAGAGACAAAGAATGGATGATTCTACCTACATGGACAACACAAGGAAACAATGTGGATAAATGGGCAAAGCAAAATAAACTAGTGGACATTGAAAACCAAAAGGATGTTACTAGAGGCAAAGAGAGTGGGGAGAGGGAGCAAGAATGTAGGGCTATCATAGTTGTAGCAGGTATTTGGCTGCTTCCAGAAGTAAAAAGGTAGAGGAAAGGAGGGAAGGAAAAAGAACCTTTTAAATGAATGCTAAGAAAAAAATAAAGGGAAAGGAAAAATGTAGTCCTGTTTGAGGTAGGCGTGCTAGGAAACCTCTGTGAACTTGAAGCAGATCTGTGAGGGAGAGAGGAAGGCAGCCCAGCAGCATCAGCAGAGAGGTGTTCTGGGAGGAGGGTGGAGCTGTGCAGAGAGTGTGCAGTGAGTGTGGTCAGTGTGGAGGCCAGTATGGCTGAGCAGAGTGAGCTGGGGAAAAGAGGAAAAGGGCGTGATGCACAGAGGCTAGGTGGCATAGGGCCTGTGGGGACAGCAATCAAATTGCTTTGAAAGATTTTTCTCACCTTCCTATCTAGATTAATCTCATGGCCTTTTACATGGTCTGCACACATATGCCCACACCTCACACATGATGGGGAGCCCACACCTGCCACTGCACCTGTAGCAGTGAAATCATCTTGCTGTCACATGCTGCTGGTTTCTCGGAGGTTAAAGCTCCTTCTGGTTCAGCCTCCTTGGCCTTTTATGTTTGCCTTCTTTGTGAGTGTGGATCAGGTCATGTTTGTTCCAAGCTCTGGATTTTTCCCCTAGTTCCTACAATTGGAAATAGATTCTAGACCTTTGTATGACTGTAGTCTTTCCATTTTGTAGATCTCAAATCCTAGGTCACTGTCTACTCTGTGGGTTTTACAGCAAGGATATAAAGACATGCTTAGGAAAATAGGGTATCTACTTATCCTTAAACTACTTCTCTGACATTCTGTAATATTATGTTCTGGAATCAAATTTAGGACAATTTTTTTTTAATTTCTTCTTTTTTTTTCTATTTCTAAAGATTTATTTATTTATGTAGGCAGAACTGGGTTATAGGCCAGAGTACAGGGGCCATGAGAGAATTCACCAGAGACAGAGCATGGAGCAGAGTAGAGGAGCAGTGGGCAAAACAGGAGAGGTCTGCCACACCAGGTGGATCACCTCTGGGGCTGGGGATCAAACTCTCACTGAAGAGGCTGCGGCCAGCTTGCAGTGCTGCATCTCAACTTGTTGCACCACTAGGGAGGGCTACAACTTGTTGCTGTTTTTTAAGGGGTCACTGAAGAAAGGTTTTCATATAGAAAAGAGACTTAGTAGGGGTTGGGAGATTGGGCAAGCCAGATGGACTAGGGCTCCCACAGACAAGTGGGAGAAGGCAAAGTACAACTCACCCACTACCCAAAGGAGACTTTGTTTGTTGTTTGATATCATGTTGAGTAAAAATGTGCATGCTGAAAACGAGATGCTTAAAGCTAAAAGGAAAATGTTTATGATGCTAGTAGAAAATGTTCTTGCTAATAGTTTTTGCAAAAGGCTATTTTCCCTTTAGCAATTGTTGTTTGGTTTTGGTGAAGACATTTTTCCAACACCCCCCCCCTTTTTTTTTTTTTTTTGCTTTTCATGGAGTAACTAATGTGGATATTTTGTTAAAAATATCCAGATTTAGGATTGTAAACTAAATCCTGAAAGCCATTAGATAGGACTGAACTGGCCCAATTAAGTCTAATACTTGATCTGTAGCAGTACCACTTTAGATCTAAGATATTTCAAGGAATAGTGATGACCCCAAAATATTTGAGGAACTCTGGTTAATGGTTAAGCTCTACAAAGAGTTCACACAATTGAACAAAAAGAAAAATCACTCAATCGAAAAAGACCTAAATAGATATTTTCTCTAAAGGAATACAGATGGCTAAAAAGAATGAAAAACTGCTCAACACTTACTAGAGAAATGGAAATCAGAACCACAATGAGACATGATCTCACACATGTGAGAAATGCATACCCATGTCAAAAAGACTGGAAACATTGAGGATTTAAAGAAAAAGGAACACTTACACGCCAGTAGTTGGAATGTAGATTGGTCTAACCCTTAATGAAAACCCCATGGATAAACCCTTATGGAGCTACCTTGTGGTGGTTTTTCAAAGTATTAATAGATCTGTCATATGATCCAGCATCCCACTTCTAGATATCCAACTGAAGAATGCAAATACACTAATTTGAAGGAATATATGATTTTCTATATTCATTGCACTACTATCTATAATACCCCATTAAGGAATCAGTCTGAGTATACTATGACAGATGAGTGGATTATAAATCAGTGTATATACACAGTGGAATAACTCAGCTATAAAAATGGTGAAGTCTTGCCATTTGTGGGAACATGGAACTGGAAATTATGCTAAGTGAGACAAGTTAAAAGGTGAAAGAAATACTGGATGATTCCACTCATATATGGAATATAAAGAAAACAAAGGACAAAACACAACCAAAACAAATCCTAAAATTCTGATTACAGAGTTGAGGCAGATGGGAGTCAGGAGAAGAGTAGTGGGGAACTATGGTAGAGATTATTGGAAATTTGGTGGCAATTATGTTGTGGTAACATATATCACAAGAGGTGTGAACCTGTGTCCCTAAATTATATACAGTGCTTTAAACCAGTGTAACCTTAATTAAAATGATAAAATTTTAAAAATTCTGGGTTAGATAAGATTTCTATATGTAGCACTGCTTTGTACCTTTAGACAGCAGAGACTCTGACAGTGAACCAAACAAGGACTAAGGTATGGCTGATTTCTTAAGCATGTGGTCATAGAAGTGTTTTCCAAGATGAAGCTTGAGTGAAATACACTGGAAATGGTGTTCTGCTGAAATGGCAGTGGATAGTTGGTCAGTAATCTAGAATTATGCCAATCAGAAAGAACTTCAACCCAAGCAATTTGCCCACCAGTTAAGTCTCCTCCTGACTCCCTAAAGCTGTAGAGTCTGTAACCTACTGCCAGGAGAGTAGACCTAACTTCAGGTGATCACTGAATTGGTAGTTGAATCACACTCAGGTATTATAGAAGGGAGAAATAATAGGTCAGGGCTACTTCCCTAGAGAATGGACACTTATTATTTACAAATATATTTTCTGTATCTCAGGGGATATCATCTGATCTAGGCTCTGGATAATCTAACAAAATCATTGTGAAGTTCAGACGTCCATGGGCCGACTTGAGGTTTTTAACATCTATTTCATCCTTCATTCTGAAGCGTGTTGAAACAGAGTTTACAGAATACTGTTATTTTCCAAAGAACAATGTGAGTCATTGAGGCAAAATCACTTTATCTTTAATTGAGTTAGCTGTTCAAATGGTGACCCATCTCCCATGCTATGACATTCATGCATAATTCCAGGGCCTAATGGTAACAGACCTCTGGTGTTCTGAAGATGCTGATCTTAACCTGTTTCAGTACTGTTTTTCAGTTTCAAATCTGCCCAGGAAAACCTTGGGCAAAGGAAATAAGCTTTTAAGACTTTTTAAGACTTGACCTACTCAGAGATTTTTAAGGGACACATTTTGTTTCGCTAATTTGTATCACACTATTATGTATTGTCTCAAAAAGAATGTGCAGCTTAGTGAAGGATCTGTGGATGACTAACACAAAGACATAATGACAAAAGATTAAGGAAAATTGAATGTAGAAAGAGTAAGAAAAAGTCGGGAATAGGTTATTCATGTTTGTTAGTTAATAACTGGTATTTCCTGAGATATATAGACATTTTATTACAATGATTAAATGTGCTATTAGTATGAATAATAATGTGTGACTGGAGTGAGGCTGTTAGCTGACAGCATGAAATGAATGAAATTTTAATTTTTTAAAACAGAAAAACAGATTCCCTTGTAAGCCCTAAAGAATCATCCAGAAAAGTAAAATTGAAACTAATTACAGAAAGCTCCCTAGCTGCAAAATTCAGAAAGTTGTGATATCTCACATAACTTCAATTTTTAGCATTTATAAAATGTCTTTAAACATTGCTCAAAGGTAAAGACACCATTGGAAGGATAATTTCAATGAAAAACAACTCATTTATCTTAATGTTTCATTTTTATTAACACTTTTGACGTAGGATATTTTAGAAACTATAATGCTGTTTCAGATATTGACGGTTCAGGATTCCTTGAAGATCAAAGAAATCTCTGAGTCTATTGCCTAGAGTTGACCTCAGTGCATTGTGGCCTGGTATTTTATGCTTTCAATGCTAATACATTTTAAAGTTCTAAAAATGTTCAGTGATAGATCACAGTCTCCCATTGCATTCTCCTTTTAACAATTAAATTTCTAATTTCAAATCACTCTCCAGATCTTAGTTATCAGAAAATAGGTAAGGATAAATGATAAGTTATTCATGTTTTCTTTTTTTCATGAGATTCTTGATTGGGGCTGTTACTCACTTAAATAGTTACTACATGGCACATTTGAGGTCAGTCAGTCCTTGATTCTCCCTCTCCAACATTTGTCAATTTTTTTTCACCTTTTTTGTATAATTCTTTTTAAATGGTAACAAAGCCAGACAGTAAGAGTTCTTGTCGGTGGTCACCCACGGAAGTCTTACCTCTCTCTAGAGCATGCACACATGTTACCATGAGCAGGAGAGCCAGGACCCGCGTCATTCTCTTGCTGGCAAATCCTCTAGGTTACCCAGGAAAAATGTCAGCCCAAAAGAACCAACTCCTTTTACTTAGACTTGCAACTCCGAGCTAATCAATTATTAATCTTTACAGAAGCAAGGGCAGTCATCTTTGGCTCACAGGAGATAAATTATCATCAATCAAGGCAAATAGAATGGGGATAATGTAGTGGAAAACCTAAGCGATTTTAATCATTAACTTTGTTCAACTGCAAAAGTCAGGGTATACATAGGTTATTTTCCACTGTTACTTTGCGCTAAAATTTATTTAATGCATTAGTGGGCACATTTCCTCCCCTTTTATGCCATAAACTACATTCCTATGTGTAAACTCGGATGTTGTCTCTGTGTCTGTCTCTTTGTCATACTGCCTCTTTGTTTATTTTAAAATTTGCCCCTTCTCTTTGTTTAAACCTTCTACAAGCAAGGATTACTTTAAAATATTGCAGACTAGATATTTATGCAGCAAGGAAAGAGTGAGAAGCCGACTCATTACAATTAGCTTAGACTCATCATTTCAATGTTATTAAGTATGGTAGAGTGATATATGCTACTCTTTGAAGACGGACATACATTTTTTTGGAAATAACTTTTGAAGTCATTCAGCTTAGCTATTGGCAAGGTTCAATGAGTTGTCTGAAATCACAGAAGTTAGTGGCAAATCTTGGAGCAGTACAACTAAAGTTCTTTCTAGTACTACGTAATGAGTATATTTTAGGATAATATAATTTGAGGGCTAATATATCACTGTGAACTTAATGCAGGGTTCAATATCTTAATTTTACAGAAGAGTGCATGGAGGCCCAGATTCTGTGTTGTACCCAACAAAACACAGGTGATTTTACTCATTGGCATCGGTTTCTTGCAATATCCCTCTTTTTCAGTGAGGGTTGGATACAAAGGCTCTAGAATCAAATCTTTACTCAGTTCTTACTGGCTGTATAACCTTGGGAATTATTTTATCTAAGCCTCATTTCTCTAAAATCAAAGTAGTGATAACTACTAGTACCTTTGAACATAGATTATTGTGTGGGGTTTGCTAGAACATATGACATGTGGTAACATAACATATGGTAGTGTTAGCTATCATTTATTCTAGTTATTGCTACTTTCTCCAAATTTCTAATATGAGAAGATGATTGGAATTACTGAGGTTCAGATCTCAGTGGAACATTTTCAGGTCAGCCCTGTATCCTGGCTTTAGAACTGTCGCAGATAAATGATCTAGACTTCTGTTACCAGTTTAGTAACTAAAGAGTAACTGCATGTTTAGATTCCATCAAAATCTTAAATTGTCTGAGCAGGTATATTTTTAGTCAAATTCTCTCTGTATGTACTTAAAATACAGAAACTTGAGTGTTAGATTAGAAAACAGATTCCAGCTAGTTGCAGAAAAAAAAAAAAAAGGACAACTAAGCAGTTTTCAAAGCAGCTAGATCAAAGGAGATTTAGGTCTGTGAGGCCAGTGGAAATCCATACATAAGCTCCAGGAGTTAACAGAGATGTACTGTAAACTTTGCTAGAGGCAACATGGGAAGATCATTGCTGTCTAAGGATCAATTCTATGCTGGTCAAAAACCAACTTCCTGACAATTACAAACTTTCTAAACTTTTCCTTTGACTAAACTAGTTTTTTTTTCAAGTTAATTACAAAATGTGTTTTAATCTTTAAATTATTTGAAAATAAAGAAACTGAGTGTCACATTTTTTAATGCAAGATGATAGTTTACTTTTATTTTTTATAATATATATATATTACATCATTTTTCATTTTGTGCATTTTTTTCATCTCAGTTGTAATCCCCATGAGCTTCCCACCACCAATCCACCTGTGTGCGATCACCACAGTCCAGTGTCAGATTTTTAAAATAAGCGAGAAACCAGAGCTGGAAGGATAACTATGAACACAGTATAGTTTACATTTTTAAAGATAATACAGCACATGTATATTTTTATACTCTTTTATTTAACAGTTTAACAATCATCTTCTGATTAATTCATTTAAAGATTTACTTGTTTTCCATGGATTTTGCTAAAGTTTAAGATCAGCTTTTCACTTTTTAAAACAACATAACTTTATCTCTGTTTTTGCAATACCATTTATCACTTTTGTCTAATGATAAACTACTTGTAGCAAGAGTTGCAACATCTCATTTGGTTGTCCTCTTGAGAAATCACCACATAAGCTTCCAGATGCATTCTTTTGGCCAAGTTTATCTTTTTCTAACTGAAATCTGCACTCAAATGTTAGTAGCTAAATATAAGAACCTTCTATGTCTTCTCTATGTAACTCCTTAATCTTTCAAATGTTGATTGTTTACAGCTATTCTAAAACTGGGAAGAAATGATCATGGTGAGTTTAGGTGACAAATCTTATGTTGCAGTTAATACTTTAGTAAGTCAGATGGGGAGATAAGGGTGAAAATACCAAATCATATCTTCTGATACTTTATAGCAGCAGTTACAGCAACTCAACAATATTACAATTATTAAATATTTTAGTGAAATTTACAGGAGTTATAAAAAATGGATCTGAGATGATCTCCCTCTAAATTGTATCTCACTGTGACTTCAGAAGAAATGTAGGTTTATCCCTAAATAAGGCTAGTTTTAGGCAAAATTGTAAGACAAACAAAGCCCATCTTTTTTAGTTCTTTCCCTGCCAGTCTCTTTTAGATCTTGCACTCATCTAGTTAACATTTTTATGCTGTTCACTGTTCTAGAAATTCTTCCATTATAGCATTACATATGGTAGAAATGATCTCCTTCAAAATAATCTCATTTACCAGAGTGGTCTTAATTCTTATTCTTTTAATATTAAACAAAAATTACATAAAATAATAAAACTATTATTGAACTACATTGTCAGTAACACTTATTGACAAACAGCTAAAACAGACGTCACTAGCATAAGGTGACACCATTGCAGGTGATGAATTGAGCCGAGACCAGTACAGTGTAGGATATAAGGTCTCTAGTAGCCCGGCCATTTTCTGCCTAGAATTCCAATGTTCTCATAATAAATCTCCCTTGTAGGCCTATTCAAGTTGCGTTTCTGTCAGTTCCAAGTAAACTTTCTAACAGACATTTATTTTTATTGAAGTACCATTATTTTGCATCCTTGCCAATGTCTTGACAGTGTGGGATTCCTCTCTTGGTTTGTGGCCACCAAAGTTCTCCCACCACCAAAAAGTCCTCCGCCATAGTCCACTGTGCTTTTCCCCCTCCTTCACACCCCTCTCCTCCCACCCCTTTAAAGACCACAAATCTATGGTCAACATTCAGGGTTTGGCCAAATGGTGGATAAGTGAGGCGACAGCTAACGGGTCACTATTTCTGCTTGAGGTAATGAAAATATTCTAAAATGTACGTGTTCATAGTTGCACATATCTGCAAATATACTAGCACTTTAAATAGATGAACTTTATGGTGTGTGAATTATGTTTCAATAAAACTGCCATTTTCAAAAGTAGTTTAAAGCCCATTAGCAAGCCTCATTTCTTTTTGTTCCTCTGCATGTATAGCCCAGGTCTTGGCCTGCATCCTCTGGAAAAGCTCCATCTTCAGAGCTCATTTTCTGCCACATGTAGATTCTTCCTTTCTAATATACTATCTTACACATTCTGCTTGTTTTGGTGGCCCTAAATTCTCATTTCTGCCTCTTCTGTTTATTGGGCCACCTTCTTGGAGTCCAGCAGGGCCCACTGATTAAGGCATTTCTCAAAAAGGGGCGGGCTAACTTTGGGCCTCTGTTTCTGAGAGTGATCCCAAACTTCCACTGTCTGTTGTCCAGTGCTACCTGTAATGGCTTCTTAGAGCAGGAACTCTAATGTAGTACTTGACCTTTCTGCTACTGCTTAATATCTGGAAGAGGAAATACTCTAGATGCATGAACACAGTTACAAACAGTTAAATTACACCCAAAGTTTTGCCTATAAAAATGAGCAATATCAGTTATTTAAGAATAAATTTACCAGCACATTCTAAAACTTGATCACTAGAAAGTAATTTTTAAATATTTCTAGTCAACCACCCTGTAACTTCGTAGTACTCATTTCTTTTTACATGTTCTAGAAGTAGATTTAGTGTTAAGATGGAAACTAGTTTTGATATTAGAAAGTTTTGAAAATAATTAATTTTTCTGTAGTTTTGTGAAAGTGAACAAAAACCTACTTTTTAAATCGACTGGCGTATAGTTTTGAAGAGGTTTTTATTTCTTTGCTCTGTTTAGGTAGACTTTCTTTGTCTTAAATGAGTATTGACATCTTTACTCTAGTAGCTTCATGCTTTTCTCATCTTAATTATTTTTCAATCTTACTTAGGCCAATTAATCCTTCATTACTTTAATGGTGTGAGGTTCTTTAGGGAACTTTAGTGTAATTGTATTTAAGTAGTGTAAGTCCATTTATTTGGAATTTCAGCATATTACTTTTGTGTATTTTTTGACTTTTAAAATGTTTTTTATTTACCTATGCATACAAGTACAAGTCCAGAGGTGTAGTGTGAGAGGACTCAACAGAGACAGAGTGGGGGGCAGAACTGGAAGATTTACTGAAATACACTGCTGAGGGGAGCAGTGGGAGAGATGGGAAAGGTCTGCTGCATCCTGTGGGTCAGGTCCCTGTCTGGGGATTGAACTCAGGCTACAGTGGCTGGAGATTCCTTGATGGAGCTGAGGCTTAACCTCTGTGCCACCAAGGAAGCGCTCCTGTATCTTTTTTTGATTGACATTTATCCTCCGAGATTACGCATATGTAAGATCATATTTGGCGGCTGCACAGCTATGCCTACATTGATTATGTGAGGCCAATATGGTCGTTCCCAGGAAAACAAGATCATTAGGATAGTCTAATCAGCACTTGTGATTAAAATTAAGTGATATAATCCAGAGCGTTAAAATTAAGTGGTATAAAACTGTCAACTTGTTATCACTTTGCTTTCCTCATTCATGGTATCCCAGAATTTAATTACTGTTACTCACACAGCCTTTTG